TTTCTTGTTTATACAAATGTATGTATGTATGTATGTATGTATGTATTTTACATCAGGCCTGCATCAAGCGCTACTGTTAATTCACTTTTACACATCTTTTGTATAGCATTCAACTCTTCAAGAAACCCCAACGCACATTTACGATTATTGGCAAAGCGATTCAAACACACCGACGCGCGCGACACAACTGAATGCGAATAGGCAGACGCTTTGCACAGGTGCTGTCGTATCTTCTGGCGGCGCACACCAGGCAAAAGTGACGATTTAACTGGACAAAAAAAACAGAAATTGATTCGTGGTGTGTGAAATTAATCAAATCCGCACCGTTCCTGGCATTAAAAACATGAGATGTCCAATGAAAGGGTTGCCATCTCCTTGAAAAATTACTACATATCCCTTTTGCGGACAAACTGGTAAGCAAGCGTCTTATTTGTGTAAAAACATAAGAATTCACAGCAGATAATTTGATATTAATTTCCGGTTTCTCAGAAGAGAGAAAGACAATGAGAATGGTTTAAGACTTGCTGTGACGAGAAGATAAATACATAAACTCATTTACATGCATTATGGAGCCCATTCTGCAGCTCAATTGGCTCAGTAGGTTCACAACAAGATGACTGTGGCTCACTTTGGCTCAGTTACAACAAATACAGCAAAACAAACAAAAAACACACGTTGACTCAGTAAAAACAACACTGATATGCCTTCCGTTGCCTTGCATTTGCTCAGCTGTGTGCCAGTATCGTTGATAGTTTGGTCTTGAAATATTTTTTGAAATTCCCGAAACTATAATTTTGTAATTGGTATTGACGTTGTTGTCGTTTGGCTAAGTATGTTAAATTTGTTGAGCACCTTTTGCTTTAATCGAGAAAGGGTTAGCCAAATTTGTCAAATCAGTTTTATTTTTGTTTGCATATCAAAATATGTAGAGAGACAGAATTCATAAATAATCTGTACCCACAATGTATTTTACAAAGTGTAATTGAATTTCACATAGCTCTTATATGTAGTTGAGTTGTCCATCACACCTTACTTAACATCTACACATTCAGGGCGTGGCGAAGCCTCCCGCATAGTATTTTTATAAAAACGAAATCAGGGTACTCCGGCGTACTTGTTATCCTCTACGGAATAATTAATTTCTAGTTAATTTTATGGAACTTTTTTAAACAATTACAATTTTGAAACTGTTATACGTAAAGTAATGAAAAAATAAACACTTAATTGTAAAATGTCCTTCTTTAGTATAAAAATAATTTTACAAAGTTACATCTACACATACTATAATTAAAAGAGGGCTACCGCCTATGGCTGATCGCGAGGTGCCTGTGCGCTCGATATGCATTCGGCAAGTTGCTGTGCTATTACTGTCCCTTGAGTTAGTCAAACATTAAGGAACGTTCATACGCATTTTCATTGACATTAAATGTCTTCGCAATTTTCGATTTTGTCCAGCTATATCGTCACTTTTGCCTTAGGTGCGCGGCTGCTGTTTTCGTTTGGTGTGGTGAATATGCCGTCGCGCTTGCTGATAATAAATATTGCTACTTTTGTTCACATTTTTCATATTTGTTATACATATGTACATGCCGGTGCTTTTTTTATATTTCATTTCATAAGCATTGAATCAGCTAAAACTCTGCTTTTAAATTTAATATGTATTAAAGTTGTGCCGAGTACGGATTTTTGCCCTTGTCAAAATAAATACTATGTACATATGTACGTATGTATATAGTATGTATGTATGTAAGCATGCATCTTTAGTAAGAATATTAATCTAACAGCGAAAGTGTTCCAGCAACCGGTTTCTACGTTCGTTAAGTTGACGCGAAAAAGCTGAGGCAGACTCCGTTATATAATATTTTTAAATTCCTTGTTTTTTGTTATTTATGGCCTTACAACAATTATATTCGACAATTTTATTGAGCTTGGGGCCGTTTCTAATGAAAAAATGTTGTGGAAAAACAATAATAATTTACACATGATAGAAGGTATAGCTGCTATTCCGGAGACCAACACATCTCTTCATCACACTTCTTCATTGCGGTCACTGGGATATGCAATCCGAAGTCGCTGGTTCATATCCTAGTGACTGCGGTGAAGAAGTCGGATGAGGAGACGTGGCGATCTTCAAAATAGCAGCTATAACTTCTACCATGTGTAAATTATTGTTGTTTTTGCAAGATCAAATTCCGTCAAATTCCTTGACTGCTAATTCAAATTTTGCGGATGATCCTACTTTCTGTAGGGGATTTTATAATAAGTATATACTAGTGCCAACCCCAGAAAATCCGTTTGGCATGAAAGGGCTCGGAGAGGCCTTCCCAATTCTGACGGATCTGGTGGTATTGCTCAATGTAATTTTACACAGTCGTATCATTTTCGCGGGGATGCCAAATTCAGTTGTCGATTTTCAGTTGAGGGTGAGGGTTGAGGTCACGATAGTACAAGGGTCTCTAAAAATGGCGAAGATATGTATCTCTCCATGTGTGAATTTGCATATCAACTAGTATATGAATTGATCAAACTTTGATTGCGTTCTCCCACAAAATGTATGACTACTCGAACGTTGAGTATGTAAGGTACTACAGAAAATTAAAAATCATATTAAAATAATTCTTATTTACTAAATTATGAAAAATGTACCTTTGAATACAACGAAATATCAACCATCGTTTACAAATGCAAGTAAATTACTCTTCTTAATCAATAGTTACATAATCGTTCCGAATGAGCTGATAAAAGGTCTAAGTAGCGCAATATAAACCCGTACTTACATATACATACATAGCGAAAGCAGTTACATATACTTATAAACAATATATAGTACGAATGTACATACATATATGTATGTATATTAGGGCGGGTTGATTTGTATGGATGAAAAAAAAAATTAAAAATCGTATAGCAAAAACGTAATCTACATTAAATTCTAAGAAAATTCTCTGAAGAAACCATGGGTCTAAAATCAAACCCTAATCCGCGCCTCTCGACTTGAAAATTTTTTTCTTCTTCTTTCACTAAAATTATTTTCTTTTTTTTTGAAATATATTTTGTTGTATGCAATACAGGTTTAAGCAAAACCGGATTATGAAAGAAAATTTTTTTTATCTATGTTCCTTATAAAAATATTAAATATAAAATTATATACAAACTTTTTTACTTGGGTGAATATTTTTTTGAATGAAAAAAAAATTTTGAGTGTAGAAAAAATATAAAGTGCAAAAGAACTACCTTACTAAACAATTTTATTCAGAAAATTCAATTTCTTTTTGGAAAAACCTATTTTTTCTAACATTTATTTTTGTGGCAAAGGCGGCCATATAAATTTTCAAGTCGAGAGGTGCGGATTAGGATTTTATGTAGTTTACGTTTTTGCTACACGATTTAAAAAAAA